ATTCTCTAAGTAAATGGGCATGCTATATTTGGAATAAAACACAAACCTCAACTGAAGAAATGCAAGTCTGGCTACTTCATTAAAACTCACCTTCAGTTCACATAATTGAAATTAGCTAAGCAACGTACAAACACTGATACCACCCCTTCTTCACTTTACAGTGCTTTCACGTTAAGAGGAGCCATGAATCAGGCTGAGCAATTGGAAAGACAGGATACACACAAGAATCAGGATCCGGTGATCTGTTGTTGCATTTAATTACCTTGTGTATTCTGAGACTTTGCAGGGTTTCTTTCCCAGAGAGAAAGAACGGACCTCGGAGCCATGGTCCAACTTTCTCTTCATCTGCAAGGTGAGGGAAAAGAGTAACAACACAGATTTAGTTACACAACCAGCCTTACTAATGTGTACTTGTTAAAATTAATCCGTTTTTACCTTTTACTTTAATATCGAATTTTAACAAAGTTGACGCTCATGAGATGATTTAAAGCAATATTTTAGTTCCTATCTTCAACGATATTTGATACATGTTTTATATGGTGCACGTATATATTATTGATGTTCTGGGGTCCACAACCTATTGGAATTACATTCTTTTAATTCCCAAATTTCCAATGTTAAAAAGTGTGCAGAACTCTGTGTTGGCTTATTTACTAAACTGTTCTCTTGCTATTCTCCTGGCAGGTGAGGGAAAGAACTAAACCCTTTCATTCTTTGTGTTCTGATTCATTGCTGAGAGTCCCATGGAAATGGTTAAATTGTAGGTAGCCTGTCTGCATTATAAATGAAATACTCATTTTAGGGCCTAAAGAAAAATAATTCAAATATATTTTTTCTTTTGTCTACCCTTTTATTTCAAAGTTGTACCCTGAAAACATTTATAAAACTGCAGTAAAACCAACTGACAGATTAACTGACATTTTTACAAGAAGGATAAGGATGAAAAACACTAAACCTCAGTCTTGAATGTCACCAGCAATTAGATATGATCAAAACCAAATAATGAGTAGGGCAGCTGCTAAAAGGGGAAGCCAGTCTGCAAAAATTACCAAAGAGATGGAAACCAGTGAAAGCCGTATTTATCCAGTCAGACAAATAAAGATTACTTTCTACATATTTGGGTAATCTTTAACCACAGGCTTTTGGACTCAATGAGACGTATGTATGCCAAATGTAATTTCTGAGTTTTTTGTTGGCTTTTTTTTTTTAAAAAGATGTGATACACCAGAACACTTTAGCCAGCTTACTGGCTGTTTACAACTGTGAGCTGCAAAATACATAAACTACTTGTATTACAATTCAGACTTCAGTTTGACTATTTGCTCCCTTTTTTCAAAATTTCAGATTTAAGATACAGTTTAAAAGTTGGCTGACTGTTACGTGACTGATTTGATCTTTTTAAACGTTACACGATAACACAGTTATTTAACCATTTACTGTATCAGTTTACCTACCTAAGAAGAAAACACCAAAAAAACAACAGGATTCTCTAAAGCTTATGGTCCATATACTTTTGTTCTGTTTGGTTTTTTGTTGTGGTTTTTTTTTTTAAAATACCTTTATGGATTTCCCTAAAAACAGTCACTGAAGATCCTGCGTTTTGCTTCATTAGTGATTACAAAGGAAAGCTAACTACGGTTAACTAGTCGCGTTTTTACAGTAATAGCTAGAACGCAACCAGAAGAGCTTGCCTTGTAGCCGTGTTTTCTTGCCCGTGCCTCACATGGGACACTGCACAGCATTTCACTGGAGAAGCGTTCAGCCAGAACCACCCCGAGCGCTCCCGAATCACTAACCTCACCCTGGCCGCTTCCCCACGCCCTAAGAGGAGCAGCCCCCCGCACCTCCCCCAAGAAAACCAGTTGTAAGCACCCCTGAAAAATAACGGATACCATCTTTTATCACTGTGCTAGACAAGCGAGCCGTCAAAATTACTGGAAGGATAAATAAGGTGTTCGGGCATGCATTTCAGTATTTGACAATAGACTTTTCAGAAAGGATTCTTCTTGTTCATGGAAAATTTTTATTTGTAGCTTGCCTTTCTGAGAGGTTATCATCATCATATTCCTCCTCTGCTTCTCGCAAGAGGGAGACGCAGTTTTCCAAAAGCACACCTTAAAAATAAGAAGTGCGAAGCCTGCAGTAGAATGAGGAGCTGTAGTATGTACTCTTTTTCCTTAGCAAAGCAAACAACACGCGTATCTCTATTCCATTGCCTAATAATGATTTCACCCATTTCTTTCGGTTGGGTGGGGTTTTTTTCAGGTATTTTTGGGAACTTTCTCATGGGGCCCACCACACAGACGAGACTTTCAGCATCTCAGAAGGTGCTAAGTAAATACACGGTCAAAAACGTCGTTTACCATACGGAGAAGATAAAACTTTCTCTACAGCAGAGAGGTCTAGTGACTAGATTTAGACAGCAGTAAGGTATCTGCGTAACCAAAAAACAGAAACCGCCGAGCAAACATCCCCGTAAATATTTAATCCGTCGCTAGGAAAACACAACTCCTCCAGACAACGTTTATTTCCCCGAAATAACTGAGCTTGCAGTATATTTAAAAAAAAAAAAAAAAAAAGAAAGAA